GAGGGGAGGGCGGGCGTCCGCGACCCCGAGTCCCGGAGGATGGGCTGGAGCGTAACAAAGAGGAAAGTCTTCTTTCCCCAGGTCCGCTTTGATCCTCTCGAGCGAGTTCTAAAGGGGTCTTGAGCTTCTGAACGCCTCAGAGGATGGCTGCGGCTGAATTCTAGATCAGGGTTTTAAAAGTCTCCGGCGTCTTTGTGCCTCTTGCAATAAGTGTGAAATTTGTCTGGTAACTTTGCAGAGAGGGGGCCTAAGGAAGGACTGGCAACGCCTTGTTTTGTTTCTGGAGTAAAGCATGTTTACACTGGAAAGAGTATTCTTGGATCTGCAAATTCCGACTTGTGCTTTCTGCAAATCCTGGTTAGATTGGCCGCTCTTGCCATGTTCGCCCTATTTTCTTTTTTGCTAAGAAAGCCTTATGATAATAGGGTATAGTGGAAAACACATCAGGACATTCCAAGAGACAATCGCTATATGCCTAATAGTTGGAATTTTTTTTAAAAGTTTGGGATATGACAATATTTTACTTTGAAAATAGTTGTTTTGTTTCAAGGGCATTTTATGGTAGGCTATCTTTGCACAGATGTTCGGGAGAAACAGGTTTGATTTAATGCAATAGATGTAGCTATTTAAATAATGTCATAATACGATCTCCTTTTAGTGATTCTTTTGTGTTAAAACAGCACTGGCGAATTACCCATGGTGAGGACCTTAGCAACAAGGGAACGGGGAACAAGCTACAAGGTTCCGAGTTAAAATGTGTTTGAGAAACTTTTGGAAGGGGATATAATATTGAAAGGAGAAATTAAACTGAATTCACAAATATTGCAGATTGCTTTCTGTAAACTTGTACTAAAGCAGAATTTAGTATGTATATTTGTTTTCTTATGAAATAACAGAATGGTGTTGTAAGCAAAGTATCTTTTTTAAATCTATGTAGGACTTATATTTCTTTCAGTAGTTAAATTTTAATTCCAGACCCAGCTACTTTTCAAATTATTGCATATTATTTAACACCTTAAAGTCTTCCCAAGCATCTTATTCTTATTTTTTTCTTAGTTTTAATATTATATCCAAACACTCATAACTTTGTATCATTTGGTAGCAAATACTGCACACAGCAAAATTAAGATATGTAATCATTGATAATTTTGTAATTTACTAAGTAATGTTATTAAACACAGTGGGTTTTATATAAGTAAACAAAAACCAAGCCATTCTTAGGGCTATACCTTGGAAGAAAATGTACCTGATACGTACACACATTCCTTTCAATCACATAACACCTACCAAAACAAGAAAGAGAAAACATTAGCTTTTCCTTATCCCTGATACTGTAAAACATTTCAAATCTCAGGGACAAATGAAATTTTACTTTTGAGTTTGCATAATCAGAGCTTAAGTTAATAATTAAATTATATATAGTATAGTATCTACTGCCTTCAAGGCATAGTTCTTTGTGGTGAAACTGCCATATTTGAACATCCTCCAAATTAAATATTTATCTTTCCTTTCATTTATGTAATATCTTGTCTCTTCATCCACACTACCTGTCCTGTTTCACGTTAGAATAATTTGCATGTCAAGTTGAAATCCACCACCTTTTCTCATGAAGGGGTATTTAGTATACATGTATATATATATAAAATCTTAAAATTTACATTGTTGGTCTGCTTAAAACCTTGTTATTTAACTTTCTCATTTCTTGACTCCCCTTCAATTTTTTTCATCTATTTAGTTTATACTCCTGAAACATCAAAGGGCATTGGAAACGTCTACAATTGGAGAACATATCATTTTATAGTGTTTACTTTTTATGTCCTTCCATTCTCTCATGGTTTTACCTAGAGAAGGCACTATGAAAATGCTGTAACAGTGATCTTGGTAGTTTTAGCCCCCCCGCAACTTGCTTTATCTCCTGTTTTTAACTTTTTGTTATATCTTTCTGGGAATAACCAGAGCTTTAAACGCGCACACACACACACACACACACACACACGCACACACTCCACAAAGAAAAGTGACAACAACGAAACCTTATTAGAGATCCATCTCTGTATGTAATTATAGCACTCTTGTAATCTTCTTAATGACGGCGACGGCTTAGGATTCAGCTTCGATTTCTCAAGATGCTCTTTGCGGTGCCCTGTGCTCAGAGACGCCATCCACATTTGTGGAATGGAATTCCGAAATGTTGAGTTTGGCAGAGCCGAGGCTGATGGCTAAACCCCGTTCTCCAGCCCGCCACCTCCGGCCCCGAGTGCTCCTCGCCCTGGGCCGAGCCGAGACAGGGACCCGGGAGGAATGTGGGATCGAGTCCCAGCTCGGCCCGCGCGCGCGCGCATTGGAGGAAGCCGCTCCTCTCGAGCTCTGCCCCCCAGAGCTGCTGCCTATCCCCAGTTACCATCAACAGGTATGGTTTAAAACGTTGTAACTGGTGTATTTTGGGGCGCCTAACTCCAAATCCGGAATCACACAGTGGGCGATCACTCTCTCCACTTCCCGAAAGGCTCGAACTGGCCCTGCAAAGGTGCACCCTCCCCTCCCCCGCACGCGCGCGCAGGGGCTGGTCCTACCCGAGTACTTCCGTCCGGAAACGCGGCGGTGGAAAGAGAGTTCCGGGACCTCTGAGGGTTCCTGTTGGCCCAGCAAAGCCGCGTGCTCTTCTGCCGGGGAGAGCTCGGTAGTCTGCGCCCTTCACAGCCCTGCTGGCTGCCTGAGGTGGTTGAACCCCGTGCGTCCCTCGTAATCCAGGATGGCTTTTAAAGCCTCTCATCTCCTTAAGTTTATGCGCAAGTCTAGGACGTTTCTCAGAACTGCCCTTGATTGCTAAATGGCATTTGCAGGGTCTTTTGTGACCTAAGTCATTCAATCATCTACCTGTGCCTGCCTCTCTGGTGTTAATATTTGTAAACGAGAAAGGTTTTTTGTAAAGATTTGTTAAGGAATTCACCTCTTTTGATCATCACGGCTGCCATATATGAGCGGGCTTGCTTGTTCCTTACATTCAGGATTCAGGGTGAATTTGCCTACAGACTGGGACTTGTGCTTGGCTCTTTTGGAGGTGTTTTGCGCTTACCTCATGGTATAAAGAATTTTGACATTTGGCGAATTGGGGCACTCAGAAGTATTCGGCTAAAGAGATGCCCTCTCATGCTAACTACAAATTTTGGGATTATGGTGGAGCTGGCCTTTATCTGACAGTCCTGACAATAGCTCCGGATTGCTACCGCTGACAGTCGTGATAGAGTGAGGGGTGGAGTCTGACCCAGGGCCCAGCCCTCAGCTCTGGTGAGGATAGACTTCCCCATCGCCTCTCTGACCCTGTTCGTGCCTTCTTTTTCCAGTGGAGAGGCATCCGCAGATGCAGTTTCACTGATTTTTATTTTTAAGAGCAAAGCCCAGAGTGACCATCATTCCTGTAACTATTGTTCCTCTTTTCTCAGCGCTGGGGTGGACGCTCCCTTCTCTCCACCTTTCGAGACGCACTTGGCCTTTTGATGGAGTCAGCAGCTGCTGGGTGAGAAGCCAGAGACTGGAAAGCGTTCCTCCCTTCAGGAGAGAGGAGTCACCGCGGACATCCCTTCTGGATTGGCAGGGGTGCTTTTCCTCCTTTAGCCGTCCACTCGAAGAAAGAAGATGCCACTGCCATTTGGATTGAAATTGAAACGCACCCGGCGCTACACGGTATCCAGCAAGAGTTGCCTGGTTGCTCGGATCCAGCTGCTCAACAATGAGTTCGTGGAATTCACACTGTCTGTGGAGAGCACTGGTCAGGAGAGCCTCGAGGCTGTGGCCCAAAGGCTAGAGCTGCGGGAGGTAAGCTACAAAAGAGGCTCCAGGCTTCTCTGCCCCTGCTTCACTACTTAGTGCTTACAGTCGAGAAACTCAGAGCAAGCCCTGTGATGTCACAGGTGACCCTGCAGGCCATCCTCCCCAGAGAAGGGAAACAGCTCAGAGCAAAAAACGCAAGGTACTGAATTTGATTCCCTGTGCCAAAAAAAACACACAAAAAAACCCCAAAAACAAATAAACAAAACCAAAACCAAAAACCCAGAGCAAAAAGTCTTTCTGAGGAGTTCCTTGTAAGAGAATTAACAATGCTTATATTATGAGTGCGTTTATGTTTTTCCAAAGTGTAATTGAGATCAAATATGAGTGCGTTGTAGTTCTCATCATTGTTCTTTTTTTTTTTTTTTTTTTTTGGTACCAGGGTTCGAACTCGGGTCCTTGTGCTTGCAAGGCAGGTTCCAGAACCACTCAGCTAAATCCCCAGCCCCTCTCGTTTTCTAAAGTAATCCCAAGTGGGTTATCCTGTTCTCGAATACAGTTTATTGACTTCATTCATTTAGTGTTGATTCATTGGCTGTTTTCCACAAGCCAAGATTGTAGAGACGTATTTACTGACTTTGATTTGGATTAGTCGTGGTTATTCAGTGTTCCTTAGCCCGGGTTTCCCCATCTAAACCATAGGGATAATAGAAGGACCTAATTCTCAGGTGGTTATGTGACTTAATGTGCAGGTAGAGCCGTAGGTCTAATAAAAAGTCTGTTATCGTACACATAGGAAGTTTTGCCCTGGGGAACCCCTAATCTAGTTGATGAGACGTGGAGTGCTCACCTATCCACCTGGTGTCTTCAATTTAAAATGCTATGTAAGGCTCTAATTAAACCTAGGATCCTACTTGTGTTTGGCTGCCTGGCTCTGTGGCAAGACACAGAAGGAGAAACTGGTTATTCCACATAAATGCCCGTGTTATAGTCCCAGTTGAAAATCCCACACTAATTTCGTAGTTCAAAAAAATTGGGAGTTCCGGGTGTGGTAGCACACACCTGTAATCCCCAGCATTTGCAATGGAGTCCAGCCTGAACTACATAGTGAGACCCTGTTGTGTCAAAAAAAAAAAAAAAAAAAAATTGGGAACTTTGTTCCTGGCAAAATCGTTTGATATTCAGTATGAAGACTTTTAAGTACTAGGGACGTAAGTACTGTATTAGGAACTCCCCCTACTGTTACCAATTCATGCTGTGATAGGGGAAGTAGACTGTGCTCTAGGCATAGGGAGGGGCAGCAAAGAGAAAGCTGCCCTGGGCAAAGTGTGTCTGAGCTGTGACTTTAAGGATGGGGCATGGAAGTCTGAGAAGGGACTGATAAGACTTCCCAACCGCAGAAGAAACCGCATGATGCCAAAGATGTGGAGGCAGCTAGTCTTGAAGCCCCAAGTGTGGGGAGGACAGGTTGTGAGTGCAGGTCCGTGGTGCTGGATTTTTGTTAAAGGACGGAGACTTCTGATGGTAGGGAAGAGAGTGAGGGAGTTTTAAACAAGGGTGTGTTGTGGTTTTTACAATGAGTGAGTTCTGTGGAAAATGATCAGAGTGGAGACTTTCAGGAGCAGATGAATTTGGATGGGGACAGAGAGAAATGGGCATATTTTTAGGACCTGAATTCCAGGTTTTACAGAAGAGTTGGCAGGGGTTCAGGTTGATACTCAGGTTTTCAGTAGATGGTGGGAGATATGATTGGAGGAGGAAACAAGAAATGAAGAGCAGAGTTCAGTTTTGAAAATAAATACCAACTTTGAAGTACCAGTCGGTGCCATTCACAGGTATTGAGTAGACAGGCAGATGCGTCTGTCTGGAACTCAGGCAAGAGAACCAGGATGGGGGGAAGAGCTTTGGGAATCATCAGTTAGGTGAACTGATGAACGGTAGGAGAGGTGATGAGGGGAGAAAATGAGGACGTGGCAGACCCCTCAGGATTGATTAGCGGGGGGAGACAGCCTTGGAAGGAAACTGATGGACCGGGTCTGGGCTTGAATGTGTTTACTTGTGTTTAATCCATCTTTTTTGCTTCCTTCATCCATCTCTCCTTTTTTTCTCTTCCCATTTCTATTTCTTTTTGTTTCTGTAAATTTCATCCTATAACCTGTAGGGAGCCAGCTTCTTGAGGAAGTCTGGTTTGTTTATTTTTGTACCTAGAAGCATGGAATGCACTGCACAAATGCGGGTGGAATTGCAGCCAGGGCACTGCTTTCCTTCTGCTGGTCAGGAAGTGCGGGGGTAGGGAGGTTGCTGTCTCCCATAGATGCTTTTCGTCTCTCGGAACAAGCAGCTTCACGGAACTGTGGGTATGAGGTGTGTTTTCAGCAGAAGAGCAGTGTGGTTTGAGACGGCACAGGTGTGGCCCCTGGAATATGTCTTCCTCGCGGAGAGACCATCCCATTGCTTCCAGCATTTAACTGCAGTTGAGATTAGAAAGTCTGTGCAGGAAACGTTTCCTTTGAAAGCCCCAGAAGCTCTGTTCTGTGGCATGTAAACAGATGCTCAAGTGCCAGGGCTAATCTTACCATATGACTGTTCAGAAATAATCTGAGTGGCGCACCACCTGTTCCTAGTGTGTGTACGTACGGCCCGTGTGCGCTTCGTACCAAGAAATAGCAGTGTGTTGGTATCTGGACTATTCCTTCGACCTATTATTATCATAGCATATAGATTTGTCTGATGAAGCTTCACTTTTGCCCAAGTACGAATTGGAGCAAAAAGGTCTTTGCTCCTCTTGCTTACTTGAATACTGTTTTCTTCTAGAATGACAGTTATAAGGGGGCATAATAATTCCCCTGTAACACTATCGCCAGGGCTTCAACTATATTAGTAGTATTTCATTTCTTAAGTTGGGATGAGTGGAGATATTGTATTTTTCCCTCCTTCATATTTTTACAAATGTCTGGATTTTCTACTAAAGTAAGAAATTAAAACCAAAAGGGTTAATACACTTATTCAGTTTAGTTAATTTAGATTACTGACTTTTTTGTCTAAATTCACTGTATTTCAGCTACAGAAAGTGACTTAAAAATGGGAAAGCATCATTCCCTTAGGAAACTATTGTTGATCATTCCAGCAATAGTGTCTCAGAGCTGTTGAAATTCTCTGCCTGTGATTCATTCGGAGTTTCACTTTTTTTTTTTTTTTTTTTTTTTTTTTAGTGACTGTGAGTCATGGCGCGTTTGTGCACCACGTGTGGGTTCCTTCAACCAAACCAAGTTTCGGGGGGCAGGAGATGGACATGGGTCCTCGCTCTCTCCATGAGGCTCTGGTGTAGCACTTTTCACAGGTGACCTCATTTCATCCTCACAA